AGCCTGATGGTGCCTCCTAGTGGGTGTGGCCTTCTCATAAGGAGGACGCTGGGAACTTTCCCCACCTTCTCTGAGTGCAAAATTTACATTTATCACATTCATTCTCACCATTTCAGACAGAAATAATAAAAAACAACTTCTAGGACTTGAAGCCTTCATTTCTCATGTCTTTTCGAGAAAACAACCCAGTCAACTGCATGGCAATATCTGACCTCCAGCTAGCCAAAGTAGAAGAACTACCATAAAGCAGAGGGCAGACAAGTATCCACTCTCTATCTTCATGATTTGTTTCTCTAGTAACCTACTCCCCAGGTACCATGATGGGTTAAGCTGGGTTGACTAGAGAAACAAATGAGTGGCAGTCATGAACTTCTGTGAGACCATGCTGCTTAGTCAAAACGGCTGACTGAAGGCCAGGCCCTGGCTTGATGTAGCCAGAGGCCTAAGGCGATATTGCATATGAATGGGATAGTTTAGATAATTATTGAATTAGACCCTTTTAAGAATTGTTTAGGATCTGGCTGTACTAGAATTATATTGATCTTTTCTACCTATTCTGTGATAGAAATGATTTTGGGGAAATAAGAATAGAGTTTTTAAGCCCACTGCCTTCAGCATTAAATTGGATCTGTAAAATAAGTTAGCAGGAAATACCTGAAAGATGGCTTAGAAAAGATAAGCCCCAACCAGTGCTTTGAATGCTCAGTACATTTTCATTTGAAAAGACTTGCTTAAAGAGCTGTTGGCAGACTGAAGAGAAAGATAGCCATTTGACTTTTTGGATTTTGAATTAATGGTTTGCACCTACGTAAAACTGGACAAATTTAGAGCCATGAAGAAATTCTTCTCTCTAGGACTAAAAGTTAAAGGGAGCCTGCGGGCAGCCTGAATTATTCACTAGGTGGCCACCTGGATCCACTTGTTGAGTAGAAGTGGGAGAAAAGTAGCAATAGAGAGACAGATTGAGTCTGGCCACTGACACCTGTGGACTCGGTTCACAGGGACTAGAGGAGAGGTGAGAGCAGGTTGGCTGGTCTGAAGTTTAGAGAGTTGTGTGGAACCTGAGCTTATGGTATGACTTAGCTCGAGGGGGCTAGGGTTGTTGAGAATTTATGAAGGAGCCCATGGTCAAAAGGCAAGGCAGCCACTGGGAATCCTGGTGAGGCTAAGCAAGGTGGCTCACACTGAGGTGACCAGACCCTGGCCAGATGAAGAGATTTGAGCCTGTGAATTAGTGCATATCGCTGTTAACATTATGAATGGCCTGTCATGGTGACTTGGCTTATGGATGCAGACTCACAAGGTTCCAACTGGAATATAGATTCTTCACATCAAAGAACATGATTGTTTCCTAAGAGCACTAGGCTAGATTCTCTGAAATCCAGTGACGCAAAACCAGTGAACCTTGTTTATAAGTGGGAAGTATAGAAATTGGATACCCAAAATAGGAAGGAGAAAGGCATGAAGTGGCTGGCTTATCAACTTTAATGGGTGGGGAAATGTGTGGATAGGATTTATAGGATTATGGTGTAGGTGTTCACCTAACTGCAGTTGTTAGGCATAGAAAACTTTTGTTCACTTATAGAATATTATGCTTAAATGGGCCTGGCACTTTTTCAGTTGTACACATTTTAGTTTTATCTTATTAGGCACAAATATGATTTTATTATTGTCTGTTTTAAAATCATACATGGCTAAAGAACTGAGTAATGGTGTCAAGTAGACAAATGGTGGTCTGTGGTAGTTACATAATTCCATATCAACTTGATATGTAAAAGTGTAGGGAGGGTGAGATAGTTTATTGTGCCAGCCTGGCCGATAAACACAAGTGGGATTAACTGAAGGTCAGAGAGATAAATGGCTTGGTGAGCCTTTCTTGTCTCTCGCTCTTTGATCATCGGACCAGTGTGCGGCTGCCTTGCTTGTTCTGTGCCTCACTTTAAAGACTACACTACCTGTGGAACACCTAGCCTGTGGACTGTGTCGCTGTAAATTGAGGTCCCTTTAAGACATCACTGGAGCTGGGGACTGGTGGTTGGTGACCTGGCTGACAGTTGGTGACCTGCCTTGTGATTGGCTGCTGTGCTGACATA